TTTGGTTCTCCTCAGTTATTACTTCCCTTGCTTTCACAGTGTCTAAATTTGTATTACCCAAACCAGGGATTGAATTTAATCAACCATCCCAAATTAATGTTTTTTTCATCCCCAGGCCAATGTTAATCTCAAGCCCTGACTGAAACATTGTAATAAAAAAATTTTTTTTTTTAAATTACTTTTTTATTATTATATATCAGTCAGTTATGTACCATGAGACAGATTTTTTTTTGCAGTAGGTTGCCATTTCTTTCTGCGGTAGACCAGTTGCCATCCAAAGCTACAGAACCCAGTCTATCCGATTTACCCATAGCTGGGGGGAGAAGAAGAGGATTCAATCCTTTGCCATTGGTATTAGCACATAAGTGAATGTAATGGATTTGACTGGAATTCGAACACGGCTCTCCAATTCCTCAATCCAAGCCGCTATCTATTACTCCACTGTACCTCCATCATTATTATATATATTTGATCTAATTTTTTTTCTTTTTACTGATGTTCACCAAATACAAGGCTCAAGAGCCTGTCAAGGTAAATGGGTTACTGTGTGGTGCTATATGAGCATAAGAAAAGAGCTGTTTATCACCCTCAAGGATGCAGTGACACTTTTGGACTCTATCAAGACTGAAGATCTGGCAGAGTACCCCATTTTTGGCCTGATCTTTTAAAAGTAGAGGATAGCATGAGGAGTCAGGTATTTGCTTGAACAGTACAGGGTACTGACTATTTTTCCAGTATCTTTAGCTATTGATTGTATGTATGAGTTTCACTTGAGGTCTGGGTTGAGCAAAAATCCCAATAGGTGCTCAAGGCATATGGCCTTCCTGAGAGAACACGCGTTTATCGTGATAAGTAAGCTGTTCGAGCAAGATTAGAGGTACTTAATAATAGTTAAAAAACAAAAGAGAGTTACAAGAGTTTTTATCTTTTGTGGTTGTTTTCATCATCGTTGTTGATATCACAATGTTTCAGCCATTACACCCTTTAACTTTATTTAGGTGTTTTTTTTACTAATGTTAACCCAATACAAAGCCCAAGAGCCACTCAAGATAGAGGGTTACTGTGTGTTGCTGTATGAACATAAGAAAAGTCAAGAAGAGACGTTTTTGGGAGTATACAGGAAAGATAACAGCTAACTCTTAACTCAAGATTTAATTAGTGAATAACATTTCAGAGTTCAGTTGAAGACGTTAGAAGTATGGTGTGGAAGTCGACTTTAGAAGGAACTGAAAACCCAATCCTAAACATGAAACAAGGGATAAACCTTTACTCCTGTTCAAAAAAAAGGGGAGGAGAGTGAACTGGACGATAGATGAACATACTACACATATTGGGAAAGGAGAAAAAAATAATTAGTCAATAAAATTTCAGAATTCAGGCTGAGACATTAGGAGTATAGAATTGAAGTAGACTTCAGAAGGAACCTGAAACCCAGTCCTAAACAGGAAACAAAGGTTAAGCCTCTAATCCTGTTCAAAAAATTGAGGAGGTGTGTGAAACGGACAATAGACAAACCTATCTACTCCTATTTGGAAAGAAAGAAGGAAAAATAAAATAAATAATTTGTGAATAAAATTTCTGAGTTTAGACAGAGACATTAGGAGTATAGATTTGAACCAGGAAGGAGAGTGAAAACCAGACGATAGGTGAACTTACGTACTCCTATGAAGAGAGGAAAAAAAATAATTAGTGGATAAAAATTCAGAGTTCAGGCAGAGATGTTAGAAGTAGAGAGTTGGAGTTGACTTTAGAAGGAACCAGAAACCCAATTCCATGGAGGAAAAAGTAAATAAATCTTACTTATTATAAAATGCAGATTGTGTGTGTGTGTGTCTGTACGTTTATATATTGGATCGGATTTCCTACATTTTTCAACCGATTTCAACAAAACTTCACAGGACTATGTAAAATTACCTTGCGGTGGTTCTGACAGCGCCAAAAATTAGAAAAACACAATTGTTTTTGTACGAAACCAATTTGAAAACACGATTAAGAGGCATTAATGAAAGGGGGACAACTAATATCGAGTTATACTTATTATAAAACCCAGGTTGGTTGTTTGTGTGTGTGTGTGTGTGTGTGTGTGTTCATTTATATATGGGAGTGGATTTCCTACATTTTTCAACCGATTTCAACAAAACTTCACTTTTTTTTTTGGCAGGTAGTGTTTCTTATTGTCTTGCACACTTTTTCTTTATTTTTACATTCAGAATGCTTTAAAAATTCTATTTGCAAGACAATTGTTTATAATAAAATTCTATTCAATCGGTAGACTCATAACGATTGAAAACAATGTTTTTGTTTCAGTTTGGGTTTGACCAATTCATAAAAAAACCCCCAAAAAACAAAAAAAAAAATAATTAAGACATGCGTGTCCGTCAACCTTAAACAATAATCTTTGTCAATTTTATTTTTCAGTCTTTATGATGGTCGATACTTGATCTATCTCTTACTGTTACATCCCCGGGCAACACCGGGCTTTACTGCTAGTACTAAATAAAATGATGGTGACCAGCTTTGAATATATGTACAAGGATAGAGAGTTATTTATAGAACTGACAGTATGATATTATCTATTAAGTTTTAACTTAAGTTCTATAAAGTTAAGCAGGGAATTAACATTATTTGAACTTTTATTATGTGAAAAATGACAATGTAACAGGAAATATTGTGAGAAGTCCATATATTGGTCAAATGATTAGAAGCCAAAATATACAAATACCTATTTATAAACAAATAAACTTAAATAAATAAAATCAAGGACCGAATAGACAAAATAAAATAAGACAACAATATAAGAAAACTTATGACTTATCCCTTAATATTAATTCTAATAACTCATCCATTAACAGTATTATGACTTATCTTTTAGTAATAACTATGATGACTTATCTCTTAACAGTAATTATTAGGACTTATCTTTTATTAGAGCCCCAGTCTATTTTATGTTTTTTTTATCTTTTCCTAGCACAGATGTGAAGTAATTAGCATTGAACATTTAAGCACTCCATAGCACATTCCAAAGATAAATGAATATTAAATAAAATTATGGAGTCTAGGCAGAGATGTTACAATATAAGAAAATACTGATAAAAAAATAGAAGGGAAAATAGAATAAGATGAATTTAGAATGATAATAGGAAATGGGGTAAAGAGAGGCAGGGTTAAGAGTAAGATCATCTTCAAATATGTGTTAGGATATTAAGTAGAGTTAGTTAGGGAATCGACAGTATGATAATATCTATTAAAGTTTTAACTTATTTCAAATATCCTCCATTAAAATAAAATTGAGCAGGGAATAACTGAACTTTTCATTTTGTTTGTGAAAAAGACAATGTACAAGAAATATGTCAAAATATACATAGAAATAAGTCTAGATTACCAAAAGATCACTGACAAACCAAAATATATTATGGTATATAGAAATGAAGGTTGGACTAATATATAAGTAAAGGCCAAATTTACTGTCTATAGTACCATTTTATTGTTGACTCCATTTGGTTACAGTTGTTAAAGTGGGTGACTATCGTCTTAGTCCTTTCGTGATTTGAGATTTCATACGGGGTTGTTGTGTTTTTTTTTGCCCTCCCAACTTACTGTTTTTTTTTTATACCCTTGAAATAAAAAAAATGCTTAAAACAAAAGTGTTAATTAAAGAAAAAGATAAAAAAATAAAAATAAAATATGTTAAAAATATATATATACAAAAATATAAAACAAAACCTTTGTAAACCTCTTGAGTCAAAGCCGGTGTGGATGATTTTATGGTATATAGAGATGAAAGTTGGGCTGATACATAAGTAAAAGCTAAATTTACTATCTATAGTACCATTTTATTGTTGACTCCATTTGGTTACAGTCGTTAAAGTGGGTGACTATCGTTTTAGTCCTTTTTATGATTTGAGAGTTCATACAAGGTCGCCGTGTTTTTGGCTGACAGAAATTAATTTGTTGAATTCATCCTTTTTTCTTTTTCTTCTGGAGTTGTACATCCAGTCAAACTTGTATCTGATGAATCTCCAACCCTTGTGACTTGAACTGCTACATTGAACCAATTTCCCACTTCTCCTGCTGTGCACATGGTTTTTTTTCTTTTTATTGAGCCTGACACATCCATGTTTTCCGTTTGATTTTTGGCAGGATGAGTTGTCCTTGGTTGATTTTTTTTTTATGATGTTCACTGACCCACATAGGCTATGTCCAGATCCTGTCAGTTACCAAGGATAGGAACAATAGAAAGAAGGAAAGGAAATATATATAATAGAGAAGAGAGAAAGAGAATTTTCTTTGCCACTCTCTTAGTAAAAAGGAAAGTGTATATTTCCATGTGGTGTTACTACTGCCTAATCCTACTAAAATACATTTTCCCATTCCAAAATGAATACAGTTAAATAAATACAATCAAGGATATAATAAACAAAATAAATTAAGAAAACAATATAAGAAATCTTCTCTGTCCTCATCTTTGCTGGATTTCGTCCATGTTACCCAACCATTTGGTACTCATTCTGTGAATAAAATGTGTCTAAGTCTCCATTATCTGGCCCCAGGGGTTGAAATCACAATTCCTACAACAACAAATTCATAACCCAGTGGTTTAATCTACGAGGTTAGGATAATCTGGATTGACAGACAACTAAAGAAGGTTCGTGGACACAGTGTCAAAACATTGAGATAATATCAATAAAGATGAGGATATTAGTCAGAAAATAAATAACTCCTCATCCAAGAAATTCAAACACAAACTCTGCACTAATTGAAATGTTAAAGTCAACCGAGACATGTGATTAACAATGAGGCTTTACCTCTATAATTAAGGCCAGATGAGATCACCTTGTGTTGACCTGGAATTTAATATTTGTGAACTGTAAGTGTTTGATTTACAGAAAACAAGATTTTAGGAGGGCTGTGTTGTTTATTATTATGCCAGATGAACTGCTTTTGTAGATGAGGTGCTTTGAGGAAAAATACTGATGCTAAAAATATATCTTTTAATAAACAAAAGAAATAAAGAAAAAAGAGAAAAGGAAAAAAAGAGAAAAGAGTAAGAAAAGAAGAAGAAAAGAAACAGAAAAGAAGAAGAAAAGTGAATGAAAAAGTAAATAAAATAAGAAAAAATAAGAAAAGAGTAAAAAGAATAAGAAAAGAAAGAAAAAGAGAAAATAAAAAAAGAATAAAGAATAAGAAAAAAGAGAAAAAAATAAGAAAAGAAAAAGAGAAAAGATGAAGAAAAGTAAAAAAAGAGAGAGATCAAGCAAAAGCAACTAAAATTCTTGGCCTGAAATAAACACCAGGAAATCAACATAGATTTTATAATTTCCTGTTTTATATATATATATATATCTTTGCATACATACTAAAAAATTCATAGTAGGGTCAGTTGGGCACCATCTGTGAGAAAAAGAGCACTATGATTCAATTCACTCTGCCAGAAATTTGGAAACACCATACTGTACTGCTTAATATTCACACTGGAATCTCCAACACAAATGTTTCAGAGTGTTTGGGTGTCAATCTGAGGAGAGTGCAAAAGATTTGAAAAGAGTTGGAGGAGTCTAATGATGATTACGAAGGTGTTTGAAGTGATCACTAGTGATGGCGACATTATGCCTCCATTCATCTTCCCACAGGGCTTCAGACTCAATATTGGAGGTCTACATCAAGTGCCTTGAGGAGGTAGTGTTACCCTGGGTCAAAACGGTGCCTGAAGGAAGACCCTATGTCTGGAAATATTTTTGTGCAATTTTGGTAAACATTTCTGTTAAAATGAAATGTCAGTGTTATTTTAATTTTTGCTTAATTTAGTTGACAATTTATCCATTAATTTTACTAAAATTAAAAGCTCTAAATGCTATTTTTATTTTTTTTTTATCACACGTATATTGACCACTTTTTATACTATTGTTTCCCAATTCAACTCTATTAACCTTTTATGTATTATATATATATATATATATATATATATATATATATATATATAAAATTGTTACTTAGCTGATTGGTGTTAACTTCAGACTCCCAAGTCCAAAATTTCATAGACAGACCCTCCAGTAATACCTCTGTTCATTCATCATGGTATATCAGCAATATATATAAATATACCAATATAAAACATGCTTAAGAGAAATATGAAATTAACCCTCCCTATACTCTACCTTGTCTCGTTAACTACAACTCTCACCCCCACACCTGTTAAATTACAAAAATTACACTACCCATCAATTTCTAATCCCATGTTTCCTTTCTTTTGTTGTTGGAAGTGTTACCTGATGATCCGGAGTCCTTCAAAAAGGATTTTGGTGAAATAAATTATTGTAATGGTACCTTAAAGTGGTCTGTTTTTTCATTAAATATATATATATATATATATATATATATATATATCATCCACAGACAGACTGTTTCGCTGTATCACAGCTCATCAGTGTGGCTAGACATCCGGTTGCGTCTAGCTAGAATCAAAAACCGGCTGAATTGGTGCCAGTTAGAGATTTTACTCCTGAGCTGTCGGTGCACAGCAGGGATGAAGGTGAATTTAAGTGTATTTATTTTTAGATAAACACACAGTGACTGAGAGAATTTGTTTCGCTTTACCGAAGAGTCTTGCATTATTAGCTGTAATAGTGACTGTTTACAATCTCAAACTTCCTCCCCAGAGAGCTCAACCGAAATAAATTTTTCAGGAGCATATATATTGTCATCTACAGACAGACAGTTTTATTGTATCACAGCTCATCAGTGTGGCTAGACATCTGGTTGCCTCTAGCTAGGATCAAAACCTGGCTGAATTGGTGCAAGTCAGAGATTTTACCCCTGAGCTGTCAGTGCACAGCAGGGATGAAGGTGAATTTAAGCGTATTTATTTTTAGATAAACACACAGTGACTGAGAGAACTCAATTCGCTTTACCAAAGAGTGTGTATATATATATATATATATATTGCATATATTTTGGCAGCATATTTTCATTGAGTCATGTTTCATTGAATAATTTAAACATGTTTTGTCTACTTATTTTCAATTAGATCCTTCCATATTCATGAACCAGCTTTTTGATGTCATTATTAAAGGAAGAGAGAAAATTACCATGTTGATAAATAATGACACCAAAAAGCTAGTCTATAAAAGGATCCAATTGAAAATATGTAGACAAAATTTGTCTAAATTATTCAATGAAACATGTCTCAAACATACATATATATATTGTTACGAACCCCCAACTAAATTTATTATAAAAACTATACCATTGCTTATATTTTAGAAGCATTTTAAAATAAAGAGCCCAGATTTGTTTTTTACAATTAACAATAACACATTTCTAAAAACATATTTCGGATTACATCTATTCTTTTGTTGTCCTGTTATTACTGGGATGTAAAAAACAAATCTATTTCCATTCCTGATGATGTCTGTATGAACAGATGAAAGCTTGTAAAAAAAATAAAAAAAATGGCCTTATGCAACTGGAATTTGTAAACAGGGATCATAACATTCATCTACAGGTTCGGGGTTAATGTAATTTTTTAAATTTGTTTGCGAAGATGTATTCTTGGCATTTATATCATTAATTTCTATATCTGTTTTTTGTATGAATGATTCATATAATGTAAATTGAACTGCACCACAGACTTGATATATATATATATATATATATATATATATATATATATATATTTTTAATAGAAATCTTTAAGTATAAGAAACTATACTTGCTCGGAAAACCTTCGGTATATTGATTTGCAAATAAACAAGCCAACACCAAAGGGGAAAAAAAAGGTATAAAAAAGAAAGAACCAAGAACATGTACGTTAACCCCCCAAAATTGTCCAGCATACGAGTTCAAGGTTCAAAGAAAAAACCCCGATGTTAGTATCCAAAAGAACTAAATAAAGTGCTCAATACAATTAGAGCAGACCTAGTTAAACCTAGAGAGCCAGACAAACCTACCAAGGTTTCACCCAAGTGGATCATCAGGGAAGGCTGGCTCCCTGACGATCTGCTTAAGGTAAAACCTTGGTAGGTTTGTCTGGCTCTCTAGCTTTTATATATATATATATATATATATATATATATATATATAATATATATATATATATAAAGACATTTTTATGTTTATACATTCTTTTTATAGATACAAATATTTAAGTAAATGTTACAGGCTGAGCATGGTGGTTTAGAGACTGCTCACTTCCTGAAAGTCGCATGGTCATTTGTTAAGTTTGCAAAGAGCTGGAAGCTGCTGTGATTTTACAGCAGCAGGCAAATGTAAAATGCCTGTTAATGGTGCTAATACAAGAATACTCTAATGTGTATAAAAGGTGCAGAAAATTATCAATGTAACCCTGAAAGTCAATTAGCTCCATTGCTAAGGAGCTCAAGGTTTCAAGACACTTTATTGGAAGAATTGTGCATATGTGATGCAGAGGCCAACTCATGTCTGCAAAGAAGATAAGTGCCTGATCTGTGAAAAGTGCTTGTTGATGAAACATTGAGAGCCTGTTATGTTTTGATTTTTCTCAGAGAAAAATTTTGATCTGGGCCAAAAGTTCAACCAAAGGAATGACAGATGGTTATGCAGAAATCCTAAACATGTTCCAATGACTATACATCCAAAGTTTCTGGCAACTGTGATGGTCACAGGAATTATGAATGTTGTAATGTTGTCCTTGTTTAAAATAGCTGAGAATTAGGAAGGCTGTAGTTGGAGACATTACTGAAGGAACAGAATAGGTAGAAAAAACAAAGAAGAGGTTTATTAAATGATCATATACAGAACAGAAAAACTTGAGTAAATCAAATACTACTCAAATCCTTCTCTAATGTAGCTACTTGTCAGTAGAAGTTCCTTGTCACAGTAATAGGGAACAGCAGGAAGTACACTAAGTCTGACTCTACAACAGTGAGCAATAAGGGAAATGTTGTGCTTCCGCGTTTCTTTTCTCGGAGCTTGAGGGTCAAGGTTGCTGACTATAAGGTGACATTAGAGAGGGTTGCGAAGTCTTGGATAGAGAGAGTGAGCAAAGGAAAGCCATACAACCATCAACAAGATTCTATCATAAGGCAAAGACAACCCGAGAATATACGAGTTACAATCTCCACAATCACATCATCTAAAACATAGATTATTATATAGCTAGTTCCCCAGACCTGAATTCATTAGATGACCACTACATATGAAGTGTAGTTAAGATGGAAGTCAATCAAGACTTTCATAAACTATAAACCCTCTGAAATTCACCATAATTAGCACAATGTCCAAAATAAAGAAGATTGTTTGATCCAGACATGTCAATGCTTCAGAACTTGTATTGAAGCAGTCATCAATACTAATGAAGGATTCAACTTTTTTCTCAAATAAAGCTCTTCTTTCATGACTTCTGTGTCTTTTACTAAATTCATGCAAATGTTCTCAAAGTACCAAGCAATCCAGTTGCAAACTACTCTCATAGATCATTATTGCTGGAATAGCAATTTTGGGCAGCCCATACTTTTTGGCCTTGTGCCAAAGTTATATTCAGTAAATAACTAGATTTAACTGTTAGTAACGTTGATATTTCTATTCCAACATTCTCCACCCAACCAGTATTTGCAAAGAAACTCAGGTATCAACCTGGCCAATGTTTTTCAATTTGTATTATGAATATAATTTCGGCCTTGAGAAGATATCAGAGAAAAAAAAATTAATTCAGATCCATGTCTATGTAAATAAACTTGTCTGTGGTTAAGATCAGATAAGATCATGATATACATTTGGAGATATACGCACAGAGGGAAAAGTTAGTGAGTTAGATCCTCACTGGGTGCTCCATACTTCCGGCCTTGTATCACATCTAAGCTACACTTAAAAAATCACCAATTAGAAGACAGTGTTTAACTGCAATAAAAAAAATAAATCCTATCAAAATGACGGTTATTCCCTTGACACTGCTATTATTGTATGCACTTTTGATTTTCTTGGCAATGTTTATTTACAAGATTATAAAAATAAGTGAACCAAGTACAATGCAATGTTTATTATTTACCTTTTATAAAAATTTATTTTTTTAATATTTTGTAAAAAACAAACTTTTTATTCAAAAGTTTTATAGATATTACAAAATTTTCAAATGCCACCTACAATGCAATATTTGTTATTTACCATTTTATAAAGAAATATGAAAACTATTTTAGTGATTTTATGTGGTAAGCACAAATGAAATATCCAGATGTAATTTTTTTCAAAATTTATTAGTTACTAGCAGTAGAGCCCGGCGTTGCCTGGGGATGTAACAGTAAGAGA